CTCACAAGACACCTACATTTGACTATACCGTCCATCTTTTATCTGTGTTCGCGACCCAACTATCTCCGCTCCATCTCCTCCGCCGTTTCTGCCCTCTCTTCACCTTTCTCTCTTTACTCTCCTTCTCAGCGAGGCGCCGTCGATAACCTCTCTCCCCTCTAAAGGGTGCTCTCGCGCACGTGCACGGTTACAAGCGCGAATACCTGTGTGCGCTCTGAGAATCGAACGAACGGAATTTTCGATGGAACGCGGAGTTCGCTTCGTATCGGGCACCGTTCCCAGCCATATTTTCCCTGCTATATTATTCACGTGGAATGTTTGCTAAGCGATTAAGCGATTTTGATCCTACATATAATTGATTCGTGATAATTTTTATAAAACCTTTGTCCATCGAATCATAAGTTTTATGTCTGTACATATCGATAATAGGAATCATAGATCGGCGTTACAAGTACCGCAGTGACGAGTGTAATAATTATATCGAAAGAAGTTTTATAGTGTAAAAATGATATAATTACTAATTTTTGGTATTTGTATTGTATTACTTATTTTCTTTTAAAACGTAGGACTGAAGCAATTCGGTTATCCATGTTTGTAAGGTTTTCTAAATATCATTTAATATACATGCAGTAAAGAAAGCAGAATTATTCATCGTTAACAAATAGTTTGATATCATTTTTGTACAGTGTCATAAAATGACAAATGGTAATTACATTATAACATTCGTTAACCTCGTTTAAGGATAAAATTGTAACGAAAGTTGTGCATCGATTTCAAGAAATTGCGACACTTAAGTAATCACGTCGGTGCGCTCGATGAAAGCTACGTCACAGTTGCTAACCTAAAGGTGACGTAGAAATCGCTGGGGATGACGATAGTATTCCAGTCATTGGTAGTTTCCCATTTCATTGATGCCGTGCTCCCTGTTATTATAACTTCCTGCTATTCAGTTGCATGGTCCCTGTTGTTTGTTCATATTTTATAGAATTCTTTTCTTAACTTCCCCTGTTAACAATCAGGATTAATTTTCTATAAAAGTCTTTTTCTGTTTCATTTATTCATTTTGAATAGATCACTTTTTAAGAACTTTATAAGGTAATAAAATACAATAAAATATCATTGTCTAGTAGAACAATTTTTATTTTTAAGAAGTATGTAACAGTTTATTCTTCTTATTGGCATTGTTTCTATTAACATTTGTTATAACTTTCAATGTATTTTAAGTACATATTTCCCAGTTGATAAATCACTGATATAAATTTCATAATACACTTAAATTTATAAAGTTTCTGTCATAAAAGAATAAATTGACACAAAAAATGGAAAATATATTAAAAGCAAACATTGACATGATAACAAAAATATGCGCATAAAGATTATTTTCCTTTTTTTCTTATCAATGTAGCACACACATCAAGTTCTACACTTTCATATGTTTAGTTCTGTCACATTAGAAACTTTATTATTATTCAAACACTACATTCTCAGTATTAGAAGAACTCATGATACTGTTCATGACACTAACATTTTCTACTTGTAAAAAGCTGTACTCAATTTAACAATTTCACCCCCCTACTATATAATTATTAACATTATGCGTATAAAGTGTTATAAATTTGATGTTAAACTGATCTTCCCCTAAAATTTTTATCGTTATAGAACTACATAATTATTTGCATGATATTTCTTGATAGCACAAAAAGTCAAAGAAAAACGTATGGGAAGTCGACGGTGTAAAGTGTTCGCGGCTCGATTCACATGTAACGAATACGATTCGTATTCGCGATGCTGCAGAATGTAGTGGTAGCCACGGTGTATTTCCAAGAAGGAATTATTATGTTGAAACTGGTCGGCGTGCATGCCGGCTGACTCTGATCGGCGGCGCGCGACCGTGCCCGCTCTTTTCTGCCTGTGCAACCTTCAAAGGCCACAGAATGCGTCGATGAATGAAGTAGGAAAGTTGCAGAGTGCCGGCCGACCGGATGTGTATACTAGGTGGCCAAGAAAATGAGAGCTCCTACGTCATTCGGCGACGAACTAGTTTTGCGCCCCCTCTCAGTGGTGCGTCGCTGCTAGACGCTCTGTCGACAATTATCAGTCGTTCTATTTTTATCTAGTCGATTTCAACGTATCTTTGTTTATTCTGGTGAACTTTGTTTTGATTTATCATTCATCGTATGTATTTCTCTTTTTAATTTCTCGCGTGATGTGATAAAGTACCTAAAAATGAAACTTATATTGTTTACAATGTGAAATGATTTAAAAAAAATAGAACGTGTTAAAAGTGGCATAAAATAAGGAAAGAATTGAATAATCATATATATTTATGTAATATGCATACCGTAATTTCAACTGTTTTTAATGAATGTTATTTAAGATCTTATCTTCGTCATTGTCTTCAGTGTACTGTGAATGCAAAATGTAGTTTTGCATTTTCTTTATCCTAAAGAATTTGCACCGAAAAAATATCAAAAGAATATTTCTATTAGTCGAAAGAATATTTCCAGTAAAAATACATTACAAATATTTATTGTACTCACTGTACTTAACTGTTGATCTCCTTTAAAGACACATTACATAAAGATTAAGCTTAATTTATGAATTTTAGTTTCTTACATCTTGAGATTACCTTGAAAACCCATTGAGGTTATAAATGTTTGCTGATAAAAGTTGTTATAAGCTTTACGATAAACGATTTCTGTTAACCTAAGCTTGCAGGTGTAATGACTATTAACGTCTATTGCATACACGTTATTCGAGGCAGTTTACCTTTCTATACCAAACGTGGATAATCATTCGCGTATGGTATTAATGCTTGGCAGCCGGACATGGATAAATTGACGATATGAGTCACGTGTAAATGACATCTAATTGGGTCATTATCTCACAGTTGCTTCTTAAAGTGGCAAGAGACGCAATAAGAAGCTTTGTAGTTTGCCAACGTTTGGCACAATGAATTCCTAAAAGCGAGCATTATGAAAAATTTAAGCCGCACAAACGCATTGAAAACTTACATTCAACGTGATATTCTCTTGACACTGTTGCCTAGTTTATGGCGAAAAATAATGCGTACCAGTAGGGTCATCTTATAATTTCGTTTCTTTGTGTCTCGCGCTAGGAGGTCGCGCGTATCGTTTGTTTCTCTCGATAACTCATTCGCTCTCGAATTACCTTAGATTGGTAACAATTATGCTTTATCCTTTTCTATCCTATTAAAATGTCAGACAGCGCTGACAAACATATCAACTAGTGCGACATCCGTCAAGACGACCACGTGTCTTGACAATGGTTGAGACGATTGAAAATATCGTTTCACATTGTTTTCTCTTGGCGAAGTGGACCGTGGGAATACAAGTGAGTGAGCGGCACACAGTATTTCAGGGGAACTCGTGGCAACCGGCTCTGGGTAGCTTTTCTTACCATCATTCATGATACTATGGTACGGCAATAGGATGATTGCCTGACGGCCGATGCCTAAAGTGGATAAAGTCTTCTATAGTAATTTAACTCGAACAGGGCACAGGGGTGTGTTAGATAACCAGCCTTTTACATTTTACTATCACTGAGCTGTCCTAACGATAAACCTTGTTTGACCTCTACATCCAAAAACATGTTACTCATGATTCTACTAACTTCGTTCAAAAGTTCGAATTCGTGGCGTTAGATAGTCGTTAGGGATTAAGGTTATGTTTCCCTATCGGACCTCATACTTGCATATGCTTCACTCACAATCCCTACAAGGTATTTATTGTTAATTTCAGTTCATTGCAAATATGTTTAAAACTGCGTTATATTTCACAAAGTATCTTTCTGTAAAAATGTTGTCACAAAACTGAATTATATAGACCCACTGACCGAAAGGAATACAACGAAGGATAATTAATTACGTTTCAACTGTCAAGTACGTAGATGTGTTCTCTTGGATAGTTTCGAAGAAAATGGATGTCTCTGGTAAGTATACATTACGAATAGTAGCAAATTACAGAAAACTGAAGGGAATTATAGGTGTTATGTGCTATCTTCCGAAAATAAGGAACATTTTAAATGAATTAGATTACGCAGATTACTCGATTATATTAAATCTCGTAAATGTTTATCCATGCACCTTCATAATTTATTACATGGTATTTCAACAAATTTCAGGATGAAATTAAATATAATTTTCCCATGAATTTATACTTTAATAAATTCAAACATAAGAACATATACTTATTGTTACGAAATATAGACTCGATCGTTTAGTTCTTGTATCTTTAGAAAATAGATATTTTTTACATGGAGTTTTCATGTGGAAATTAAATTTCTTCATAATCATTTTCAATAATCAGCGAAAGTAAGAGTGGTGGTAAAAGAATACATTTTAGAATAGAAAAATTATATAATTAATCAGGTATGATGTTGGAAATAAAAAATATATTTAATAGTGTCACTCGTGTCAATTAAGTAAAATTAATTTTAAACCGTCTAATTAAGTTATAAGAGTTATCACAATCAAGTA